TTAATCAGTGAAGCTTTGTTTATCGATACAACACCGGATATGGAATAATGTGACAACAAGCAACAAGAATAAGACGTGGAGTGGAGAGCGGAAATATACATAAGACGAATTGTGAAGGTGTGTGACTAAAATTGATATTATTACTATTATTGTTCCCTTGGGTTCCTAGTGGAACATAGGGCTTCAACTGCACGTCTCCACTTGCCGCTTCTGTCTTCTTTCTGCTGTACTTTTCACCTGGATCCATGTTAGTCCATACGTACTGTTTCAACTCCTCTTCATACAACCTCCTCCATGTCACTTTTGGACTTCCCACTCCCCGCTTCCCTTTCGGGTTCCACTCGAGCAATGGCCTGACGCGCGATGTCACCCAGTGGCGGCCTCCTCAGCGAGTGTCCAATGTGTCGTCTCCACTTTCTCCTGCATATTTGTTGGTTGGCGATTGGTTCTTGTTTTGTTTGTTCCCATAGTTTCTTGTTAGTGATTCTTTCCGGCCTGGCCATCTGATTGTCAGTATAGAGCGAAGACAGGCTGTTGTAAATATTCTTTGTGATCCGCCCGCCAAGTTTCTGATCCGTATAGAAGAAGTGACTGACTTGACCTTGTTCGTATTGAAAATCCGACCGAATTTTGTTGTTTATGGTGGCTGAGTGACGAAGATTTCCAGATTGGTTTCAGGTTGATGAATCTGTTTCTCGCTCGCCTTCCCGATTCTCGCTCGATTTGACATCCTCGTTCGTTCCGACATCCTGTAGTTGAGACAATGCTCCGTAGGTAAGTGAATGAATGATGTAACCTCTTTCAAATCCCTCTCGTTGATGGTGATTAGCGCTGGATGTTGCTGTTGTTATTGGTTGGTTATTTGATTATGAGTGAGAAATAATTTATGCTGGAAACCTTGTCTGTCATTCAGTTGCTAATACTTCCTCATCACTGTGTAATATTTGAAATGAACTTGTCTAGTATGGAATATCTCAGAGCACTTCGTCTTTCTTTTCCTGTTTTCTGTATTTGGCCTTCATTCAACTTCATCATGTCGATATCATAGTTTGAGATGAGAAACAACCATCGTCATCTTTGGAAACCAGAGATATTTAGATCATAAAATGTGATCTGATTTTTACGATAAACATATAAGATCAAATTCGTCATTTACAATTTTAATGAGCCAATGAGGTAGAATTCGGATGTTTTTAACCTATTAGAGATCTGATTTGAATCTGTCAGGATACACTGCTGATGAAAGTGGCATGAAATAAATGAAATGGTTGTTTGATGTGTAAATTACATTAATCTAGTTGGCAAATCCCAGTGGTTGATTTCAGTGTTATCCAACCACTCAGGAATAGGTATCGCATGTAATCACTCTTTTCATTTGAATGTACGAACTACTTAATTAAAACAAGTAGTCAGATGGTAATTGTGAAAATGGTTGATTAAAATTGGCACAGTCTGCTTACTACAAACTTATGTCACACTAGCTATGGACAGATGGTTAAAAGTCTCATTTAATGCACATCCCTCAACTCTTCTTCAGTTACCTACATGCTCAAGCCTTTCAAGTACAAGCAGGCCAACGATCGTTGTGTTTCTTGATATTAGGGCTGCCTTCGATTCGTTGGACAGAACTGTGCTCTGGAACTGTCTGTTAGAGAGAGGTGTACCTGAGAAATTTGTTAACATCCTGAAAGCCCTATACAGAAACACCTCAGGTAGAGTGAGGGCATACAACCAACTATCACCACTGTTCCCAACCAACAGTGGGGTTAGACAGGGTTGCCCAATCTCTCCATTTCTCTTTAACTTTGCCATCGATGACATTCTGGAGTCAGCTCTGAAGGATGTGCGTGAAGGTGGTGTAGATCTGCTACCTGGAGATAGACTTTTCGACCTCGAGTATGCAGACGATATCGTCTTACTGTGCGATAGCATGCAGGCTGCCCAAATCGCACTTAATCAGTTGGCGATCAGTGTCTGTAAGTATGGTATGTGCTTTGCGCCGTCTAAGTGCAAAGTACTGTTACAAGATTGGCAGGAGCCTGTACTTGCACTCACTCTTGCGGGTGAACCGCTTGAAGTTGTTGATAAGTTTGTGTACCTGGGTAGTTGTGTGAGTGCTGGCGGAGGGGTGACGGATGAGATTTCCAACCGTATAATGAAGGCTAGGGTGGCATACATCAACTTGAGCCACCTATGGCGCCGTCGCGACGTTAGCCTGGCTGTCAAAAGTCGGGTATACAATGCCTCGGTGCGGGCTGCGTTGCTCTACGCCTGTGAAACCTGGCCTCTCCGAGCTGAGGATGTGCGGCAACTCTGCGTGTTCGATCACCGCTGTCTCCGCAGGATTGCTTGCGTTCGATGGCATCATCGCGTGAGTAATTCTGAGGTTCGGCGGCGTGTGTTTGAACAAAGTGGAGATCACCATTCATTGAATGTCGTCATCTGGAAACACCGACTCCGGTGGCTTGGACATGTGCTCCGAATGTCACCCCAGAGGCTTCCGTACAGGTCTCTGTTCGCTAGCCAGCCCTGGGACGGGATGGAAAAGGCGGAGAGGTGGTCAGTCCATGACGTGGCGTCGTGGGATGAAGGATTTTTGTGCTAGATTAGCATCGGTTGGTGTGTCACGACTCCCTGGTTGGGGTCCGAGAGATAGCTCGAGTCGGTGGCTCGAAACGTTATCGGATATGGCCAAGAATCGTGATCAATGGTGAACGTGTTGCAATTTCCTTCTTTCTTCCCTTCCCGATGATAGCTAACGAACACTGTTTGAACTTGTTAAGCATGACTGTTTTCCTTCCAGATGAAGTTCTTTATCCGTTCTCTACTTATATATATATATTTTCCTTCCTTCCTTTTTTTTGATCTATGTTGTTTTATTATTATTGTGTGGCGCATTTTTCTTGGTGCCATATTGTACCAAGTTTTTTATGCGTTTAAATAAATAAATAAATAATTCAAGTACAAGGGTCGGTGTGAATGGTTTGGTAAAGTACTTTAGACTTTGGTTGGGGGTGATGGTGAAGTACAAAGAAACTGATTGCTGTCTTATTCAGTATGTTTAGATGATATCGTTATCATTCTGATATGTGAATTCTTTGTCCGGGAATATTAATCCCTGATCAGTAGGAAAAGCCATCTAAGATGTTTCAAACATGTCACTGATAGAATAGTCGGCGGAGGCGAATTACAAAATTCTGGGAACTGGTGGATTCTGCTCGCTTATTTTAAGCATGTGATAATTTTTTGTAGTCTGTGTTCATCTCAGGTGATTTTATGCAGACTTCTTAAGTATTGAAACTCCTCCATGACAAATATTTCCTACGACATTTCGAGATTAAACAAGAGGATCTTTTCGAGGGCGACTTGGACCTTTCCACAAGTTCCTTTTGGTTTTAGATTCTTGTCTGTGAATCTAGATGAGCAACCATTGTCTATCAAGGCTTCTTGGAGATTTCTAAGTTCCGGATCCTCATGGGGAGGGAGTATTTGAGATTTCCTCTTTCTGCTTAGAAGGATATAACTCTGAAAATTGATGCATCCTCCATTACATGTGAGCTTTTTGTACATGAATCTACTCAGTAAGTTATCAAGATTTTTTCGCAGAAATAATGATTGTCTCATCAATATATCTCGTGTAGAGATGGAGTTCATTGATAGTTGGTGATAAGAAATTGTTTTCTAGGCTAGCCATTAAACAGTCAGCCAAGAGTGGTTGTAGAGGAGAACATATTACTACGTTATCTATTTGCATGGCTGTGAGATATGGCCTTTGAAAGTGGATGGAATGAATAGGCCGGCTAGCTGTCTTTCATCGTAGGTGTTTGCATTCTGTCTCCTGTATTAAGTGGTATAATAGACTGAGAAATATTGAGGTGAGTAATTGGTCGAGGAGAGGAAGCCAGTCAGCTAGGTTGTGAAGTTACGTCGATTGAGTGGGTTAGGACATGTTTTAGCGCATGTGTAGCCATTGCGTTCCTCGACAATAGGAAATATTGGCTGACATAGTTGGATAAGGTTAGAAAAGAGAGGCAAGTGGTGGTCAAGTCGAAATATGGCTTCATCAGTCAATGAAATCCACAACAGTTAGTTTAAGCCAGCCACATAGGGAGATGTAGACTGCTGCCTGGTTGGGATCCTAGGGATGGTAAAAACCAATGAAAGCTAGAGATAATTGGTGATACGGTTCAGACTCGTTCTCAATGGCTGGTGCAGATGTAATCACTCTTTGTGATTCATAATACCCAATAAAACTCCATTTTTCTTCGATATTACTATTCCTTTTGCCTCATATTTCTGCTTGTTACCTCTCTCTCTCTCTCCTTTGAATCTCTCTTTACTCTCTTTCCTTGCTTTGTGTACTACAAGGAGGGAGTGTGGCAACTTGAACGCCTGCACATCTGTGGAGAGTTCTACAGTGAAACCAATTAGTCGGTAAGTCAGTCATCTATTTGCCTATAGGTGGTAATAAGTATATGTTTATATATAAACTCCAATGTGAAATCAGTGCTACTCGCTATATGCATCAGATACTTGGCACGTCATAAAGAGCATATCAGACAAACTGCAGACCTTCATTAACAGCTATCTTCGCTCAATACTCAGCTAAAGATCAGATAGCTAGCCAGAAAATATCAACAACAGGGATGTCTGGAAATGAGCGAACCAACTTAGCAGGAACCGATCGTGTAACAAATAAGCAGGAAGAAATGGAGGTAGGTCGGTTGGCCATACTCTGAGGAAACCATAAGGTGACATCACTAGACAAGCCCTCGTGTGGAACTCGATCGAATGGGAAGCGGCGAGTTGGTTGTCCCACGGTGGGGTGACTTAGAGGAGGTCATGTGGGGAGGAGATGAAAGCATGTGGATAGATGTAGAGCCAGGTGATAACTTTAGTAGAGAACCGAACGCACTGGAGACGTGCAGCTGAATGTGTATTGAATAATAAATATATTTGTGTCGATTAAATATATTTCTTAATTTTTCGGATCCTCCCAGGTATTCTGCTGCTGCACTGAACAACTTCGATCTATTGTCACTGGATCATACAGACGAAATGCCTATCGATAATTGGTCAAAATCTTCTGTCACATCATCAACAGCAAATAAACAAGGAAGAAGTAACAACAAACCCGCTTCACGAACATCATCTCCGACATCTTTTGGCATATTCAGCAAAGTTGTCAACAACAACAACAATAGCAATAATAATAATGATACTACTACTACTAGTAATAATAATAGTAGTAACATTGGCAATAGTCTTAAAGGAATGCCTGTTAAAGCTGCTCTATGGGATAGTGAACATTTACGTGAAATAGTAGCCCCAAAGCCGATCCCACCATCATCGATAGCTGAAATTACAGCTTATAATTTACGCTGAGTTGACACTTTTTATTTGACGTTGGACTGACTCCTTTGTCAGGGAGGGAGAATCACTTTTAGGCGCCCAGATTCATACACACACATATACAAATATGTATTCATTCATATATATACATACATAGGTGTCATGTACTTGTGTCTCTCTTTGTGTGTGTGCGTGTGTGTGTGTGTGTGCGTGTTTGAGATGTGCTCATTATGGTTCGTTCAGTTTATTGTTGAATTTGAGAGGATTATCGCTATTCTATGTGATTCATGCGTCATATGTTGATATTTTTTAAGATAAGAATTTTTCCTCTGAGCTTTTGTTATTATTATTATTATCATTATTAATATTATTAATTCTGTTTACTTATTACATAATATCATAATATCAAATAAACAAAATATCATAGAATTCTTTGGGTTGGTTTGCTCATCTTTTGTACTCTGGTTTTTGTTTTGCTATTATTATTATTATTATCATCCTTATTATCGTAAAAACAATTTGTTTGTTGTTAATTTGTTTTTTTATTATTTATTAACTTGTACATGATTTCCTCGAGTTTTTAATTTTGCCGCTTTTTTGTGTTTTGTTTTACTCATCACCATGGTAACGAAGGAGGCAACTTTGAATTTATGCGTAACATTTATTTGGGTTTGAGTTGTATATCCAAAGTAAATTATTATTATTATGTTGGTTGGTTGGTTAATGCAGATCTGATTTATTATGTTATTCTTCTTATCGTTATTATTATTATCATTTGTATTGCAGATATTGTGATACAGCCTGTCTGTCTGGTTTCAACATAAAACTTTGCACCGATGTGCAGCAGTTCGAGTCGCCACACTTCACTCAACACACACAAAGCAAGAGAAGAAAGTAAAAAAAAAAGCAAAATAGAGATAATAAAAAGAGATATGAGGCTAAAGGAATGGTAATATACAAGAACAATATAGTTTTATTGGGTTTTATAAGTCACAAGGAGTGGATGCATCTGCGCCAGGTATTGAGAACGATCACTTTGGTCCATATCACCGATTGTCTCTAGCCTTCATTGGTTTTTATCGTCCCGAGGACCCTAACTAGTCAGGAAGTCTACATCTTCCTACATGGCAGTCTTAAACTAACTGTTGTGGATTTCATTGACTGATGAAGCTATGCTTTGGTTTGACCACCACTAGCTTTCTCTTTTTCAACCTGACCTTTTGTAGGCTAACATTACCCATTGTCGAGGAAGGCGATGGCTAGACATGGATGCATAACACATGCCCTAACCATCTCAATCGATTTGTGATAGAGAAAGTGTAGGGTAGAGGTTTTGAGTGTAACAGAATTCTGATTGTTATTATTGTCCTCTGTAGGTGAGGTTACAAAAGCTATCAGTAATTTGAAACGAGGCAAAGCGGCAGGACCCGACGGAATTATTCCGGAGGTGTTTAAATATGGGGGTGACATACTAGTTTGTAGATTAACTGAGGTACTAGGCAAAGTCTGGGAATCAGAGACAGTACCATCAGACTGGGGTAAGTCACTCATTATACCGATATTCAAGAAGGGAAACAAGTCCTCGTGTGATAATCATAGGGGGATCAGCCTAACGAACATAGTCTCTAAAATCCTAGGCTCAGTAATCATGCATAGACTAAGCAGAACTCGGGAGGAACAGACAAGGGAAAATCAAGCAGGCTTTAGACCAGGTAGAGGGTGCATAGATCATATCTTCACTCTTCGACAGATTCTAGAACATAGACACACTTTTCGGCGTCCAACAATTGTCATATTTCTTGACTTGAAGGCGGCCTTCGACTCCGTGGATCGAAAGGTACTATGGCAATGTCTGACTGTGAAGGGAGTGCCAAGAAAGTACATTGCACTAATCAAGGCACTCTATTCAAACTCACGTAGTCGTGTAAGGGCTTATGGGGAATTGTCATCTGAATTAGTAACAACCAGTGGTGTCCGACAGGGATGTCCACTTTCCCCATTTCTGTTTAACTTCATCATAGATATGCTAATGGAAGTATCCTTAACTGAACGTAGTGACTTAGGAATCGACTTGTTACCAGGGAATAATCTAATGGACTTAGAATATGCAGATGACATAGTCCTGTTAGGGGAGGATGCTGACAAAATGCAGAGTCTTCTGAACACCTTGAGCAGCAATCTTCGTATGTTTGGCATGCGATTCGCCCCTGCAAAATGTAAGATGCTGCTACAGGACTGGACGACGTCAACCCCTAACTTAGTGATAGGGAGTGAAGTGATAGAACATGTTGACCACTTCACCTACTTGGGAAGTTGTATTAGCACCAACGGACTGATTGGCGATGAAATCTCAGCACGGATCCGAAAAGCTCGAGCTGCTTTCGCTGACTTACACCATCTCTGGCGTAGGCGTGACATCCGGTTATCAACCAAGGGACGTGTGTACTGCTCATCAGTTCGCTCCGTCCTTCTCTATGGCTCTGAAACATGGCCAATACGCGTTGAAGACATGAAAAGGTTGACTGCTTTCGATCATAGATGTCTGCGATCTCTGTCTCACGTTAGGTGGTTTCACAAGATAAGTAATGTTGACGTTAGGCGTAGAGTGTTGGGCAAAGAGGGAAAATCAATCGACGAGGTTATAAAGTTACATAGACTAAGATGGCTAGGTCACGTGGTGCGCATGCCTAACCACCGCCTCCCCCGACGGGCATTGTTAGCTGATATAGGTTCAGGTTGGAAAAGAGCCAGTGGTGGCCAAACAAAAACATGGCATCAATCCATGAAATCCTTGACAGTTAAACTGAGTCAGGTAGGGAGATGCAGACTCCCGGGTTGGGGCCCTCGGGACTCTAGGAATCAATGGCTGGAGACAATAGGTGACATGGCTCAAAATCGTTGTCAATGGCGCAGATGTATTCAGTCTCTGTAATCTTTCATATTCCTTTCTACCATTACCCATTCTGTTTCACTCTTATATTTGTCAAACTCTATTAATTCTCTTCACTCATCTTCTTGTCTACCTCTGTGTGCTATTTGGAACGTGGCAACTCGAACTGCTGCACTTCGGTGCCAAGTTCTATGTTGAATCCAGACAGACAGACATTGTCCTCTTCTAGTTTGAGTGGAAAATTGATCTCTCCTTAACTCTGTCCTCTTCAGTCCTTGTTTCTTAGCTGGCTCTACAATTTTCCATAAGCTGTTATTTCATCCTCGTCTTGAGATGATCTCCTACATGTCATCCTGAGATGCCTTCTTTAGGAGTTTGACAAAGGCAGTCTTTCATCACAATTAGTAGGTACCTTTCTTCTTCCTTTTTTGGGACCCCTTCTGCAATAGTGCCATGAGCATATCCTTTGACACTTCTGGAACCGTTTTCAGTGCTTTGGCAGTAGACGGTGGAGTGGAGATTCCTCGTCCTGCTGCTTTTCTGACTTTCAGTAGCTTTATCGTAGGTTTTCAAGGCTTTTGCCTCTTCTCATACACTTTTTCCTCCTAATGAATTTCCAATAAAGTAAGAACAATGGTTTGTGTGGAACAAGGATGGTAACCCCTATCACTCTTGATTTCGTCGGCTTCTCTTCAGCTGCGTATAGCGTAAATCAATGAAGTAAGTTTATGTACAGAACTAGTTTAGCATATTCGCAAATGATAGTTAATGACAGGAGACTTCATACTTAATAAACAGTACTCAGAAATTACACTCATTTAATTTGTACCCAGGAAGTTCCAGTTTAAACAAAATCAATCAATGTGTGCATTCAATGGTAAAGGAGTTGCGTAATAAAGATGAGAAGTGCGTAAGATGATGAGTGACTAATATATTGGGTAAAAATTGTACTGAGTTCAACTGAAATTATAGAAACACAAGACAAGCAAAATTACACTATATCATAGTGGAGTGGGGGTAAGGTTAAAGCCAAAGATTGCGTAGCCAAATGAAAGAGAGAGATAGTGAAGACATCCAGTAACCAGGGCAAGGAAAGCCGGATAACTACTTCTTTCTGAACACGTAAATCAGGTTTCAGGTGTTTTATAAAGACTGCTTCAGCATATTTGAAGAGAACTGTAAATTAATTTGTCTCTTAATAATTTTAAAGGAATTCGTGATGCCTACTGCATGAAGTGTATTGATGTGATGCCTGGCAATGAATGACACTATTGTGAACGCATTTTTTCCTTTAAGACGCAGGCTGTTTTGGTCGAAAGTGTGGTCTTCTTTCTGTTCTTTCAACGTTAGCGCAACCTCAATAATATGTAAATTTGTATACACCCTTAGAGTTAACATGAGAAGGTTATTTGTCGACTTTTGATGCCGCCAGAAAGCGCGTTGTTCGATAAATAGGAGATAACTTAGCTGCAGGAGAACTTCTAGTTTGAAACAATTAGTCCATTTTATAAATTTGGATAGCGTTGTTAGAAGACGGAGACTATCTGAAAAATGTGATGTATTTGCGCTATACATTTCGAACAATGTCATCATACATAACTTCTCAAGTCGGTATATATGAAAAAACTAAGGGCAGTTAAATTAAACAAAGTGAGAAAAAAAAAGAATTAAGACTGATTAACACAACGTTTGGTAATATATGACGATCATGAAGATTCGAGTCGTCTATTAGACAGACTTAACTCTGTACAGAATCGTAGAAGTCTTACGTGCGAGGAAGAAAGTCGCAACCAGCTTGCAGTTTCGGACATTCTTCTGCGTCGAACAGATGATGCTTCAATAAGACGATCAATCTACAGAAAGCCCACATAGGCAGGGAATACCTTAATTTTCACAGGCTCTGTCCATTACAGTCGGAGTAATGAAACACATCGATACTAGGGAACTCAACTCTAGTGTTTTTATACAATATATATATATATATATATATATATATATATATATATATATATATATATATATATAACTGTATAATCGTATATATACCCATATTAAAACAATTAGTCCCTTTGATAAATTTGAATAAGGCATTTCATAAAGACAAATTTTGCGAGATGATATTGTCATTTCGTAGTTTCTTTGC